CCACCCATCCTCCTGAAATCCTGGATCCGCCTCTGCCGGAAGAGGTGTGGATACGCAGACTATACCACCTACCGGGGAGATAGAGAGCTGTTTCCGAAAGACCTTTGGGCTCGGTTTTATCAACCGCAAATAAGAATACTAATTTAACTAAGACTTCTCACTTGTTTAGCAGATTCAATATAAACAGACAAAAATTTGCCAATTATTCAATGACTAAAAGCTTATTGTGAATGAAGACAATAACTTTCAATATATAATATATTATATATATAATAATATATTATACGTATATATATATATATTCAAAAACATTTCTATGATTTTTTTGTAGCTGCATTATCCTTTATTTACTTAAAATATACACCATTTAAAAGCATTATTGGTGGTATGGTTCAATTTAATATATGTTAAGACAAGGCAAAATTAAAATTAATGAACAAAGAATAATTAAAGTAATATTAATAGTATAATGAACTTTGACGACATTAATTATGTTCAATCATTGTCACGATTAAAGCAACTAGGAGATATAGTATGAGAAAAGAATAGAAATCCGTAAGCTGTATACTATAAAACAAAATAAATAAAGTAATGTGAAGTACTACTATAACTTTTCATCGGAATAAATTCCGATTAGTTTAATCTGGTTTGATAATATTATGCACCTGGACCCCATTGGGTTCTAAATTTAGTAGAAACATTTTGGTATCTGTAACTATGAGCGCTTTAACTTTGAAAAATGACATGACTTCTTCGTTAAATTATGAGCCCTTTAACTTTGAGAAGTGATTTGACCTCTTTGTTAATTGATGCTCTGATAAATATTTAGCTATTACTGAACAGTCTTTACAAATGGCAATGTGGCCAACTAATAAACACAATAGGAATTTAGTATGTTCTTATTAAAATGTTATTTGCGAGTTTTTGAAGTGTGATAACCCTGATAAATTATTAATTGTTGTCAACCTAAATCAACATGATGTGGTTTTTAAGAGCTAAAAATCGAGATTTTCATGTAATTACTGTAAAGGTAACTTAATAGTATAACTTTTTTTTACAGCACTAGTATATAGAATATAAACAATTTATGATTCAATTAAAGGTAGCAGAAGCCTGAGCCACCATCTTTCATTTCTTTTCTGTCTCTGTATTGATCTTAGGTTTCAATTCCTTAAAATGATATTTGGTCTAAGGGTTGAGCTGTTATTTCAAAAAGTTTTGAGACTTTCTGCTGTGCTCTTTAAAGGAGATCGATTTCATTTCCAAATTTTGAGCTAGGGCATATACTTGGTCACCTGCATCGTCAGTTTGCTCTTCTTTACATGTTCATCCATTTTTCTCTTAGTAAGTTGCAATCTCTTACTTACCGTAATCCCTTTCCCTTTTTCCCCACTTTTTTTCCGATTCTACTGGTTGATTGTTAGATGTGGCTTTTAGTTGCATTGATATCTTACCTTACATGAATTACTTACATAAATCCTAAGTCATTTCCCCTTTTCCCAATAATTTCTATGATGTTGTGGATTCTCTATGTAAATTGTATATCTCTTTGTTTCCTTGTATAAATTTCATGCTTAACTCTAATCCCTATTTTCCTCTTTTATTATTTGGTTCTGTTAGTACATTTTTTGGCGTTGTTACATTGCGACTTTTTTTGATTCTCATGTTTATCAGCCAAATCAATTAAAAATGCATTATGCGGTTGAAGACTTTAGAGAAGCTATTTCTCGAAATGTAAGATGTTTTATGTAAAATCTAAATGATTTTTAAGTTCTTGTTTGTTTTTTAATTAATTTTCCTTTTTCTCTTCTTTTTTTTGTTTTGTTGTATTATTCCAGGCTACAAGAACTTGGTGTGGCAGGCAGTTTACGACAACTGTGAGCTACCAAGATTGGTTACGTAAGTATTATATTTTGGACCAAGATCGCATTGGCTTCTCTTTAAATTTCATCACGCACGTGAAATGTTACGGTACTTCATGCCGCAGTAGAAGTCTAATACTAATGTTATCGCTGCCGATTCATTGCAAAGCTCTTGTATCTTTAAGTTGGTACATGCATTATCTTCCATAGCTTAAACTAGCTCGTCTATAAGTATTCATCATTGAGCACCGAAAAAGGGTTTACTTGTAAACCCATTTACATATCAAGCCTCCATCCAAGGTCATTAAAGTTGGGCTTATAAATCATCGTGCCCTGAGCCTTGGGGTCATATTTCAATAAAATGCTAGACATATGTTGTAATATAGAATTTTGGATCTTGTTGTAAAATACATTATCAATAAGTTTGAAAATTTGAATAGTTTAATTAATAGTCGTAAAATATTAGACAATTTTGTAGATAATGTTAGATTTTTACTCATTCTTCAATCTATATGGGAAGGATGTATTTTGGACATGATCAACCTAGTCTATATGATGTATCTATAGACTATAGGGATGGCAATGGGCGGTGTGAGTGCAGGGCGGTGCGGGTTTAGACACATCCGGAGCGGTGCGGGTTTAAACATATGAGGTTGCGGGGCGGGGGCCGTGGCGGGTCAAAAGAAGGAAACTCAATTTTCTAACTTTTTAAAGATGAGGTTTAAAGCTTAAAGTAAGGGACTCAATTACAAAGGGCTCTGAGGCGCATGTTTAGCAAGGTTTAGCTAACGTACGCTTCTGCCATGGCTAGACAAAGGAAGAAGCTTCCATCACCGACGGAAGTAAAGGAAAATGAAGGAAACACCAGCTCAATCTCAACCTAGGCGATGGCTAACGGGTATGGGAAGTGCACCCATAGTCTTTCACAATCCAGCTCAAGGTGTGGAAATTGATGGAACGACAGTTACGCCGGACACCGGAATTCAACAGAAACTGATACCACTGACGTTTGGAAGTTTTCTACCACATAAACTTCAACCAATTATGGAGGAAATTGAATGTGAAGGGGAACAATCTGTAGTGAAGGAAAATATGGAGACAATTCATCGACGATTGCAATTTTCAACAGCAGGAAATACTGTACAAATTCCTTCAGCACTAGTACCTTCAGAGAAAAATGGAAATAAGGAAGAAGTACATACCATGCAGAAGAATCGAAGCTCATAAATGGGTAAGACATTGAACTATATTCCCCCTGCTATACGTGAAGGTACATTCATTGTGCAAATTGAAGTAGAAGATACAAGGGAACAGGAAATTTACTGGAGTACAGCACTGATTGGGTATGTTTTGGGTGATAATCCTTATGAGAAATCAATGGACAATTATATTACAATGTTTGGAATTTTGTTGAAAAGCCCCAAATCCTTTATCATGATGAAGGATACTATATTTTTAGATTCCAAAACATTGAGGAAAGAGATTTGGTTTTACAGCAGGACCGTATACTTACCATAATAAACCTCTGATTCTGCAACATTGGAGTATGGATTTCAAGTTTGACCCTGGGTGTATGAGTGTTATTCCTTTATGGATCAAATTTTTGGGACTTCCATTGGGGTTTTGGTCCATAGAAGTATTGAGCAAACTAGCTAGTGTTGTTGGGAAGCCTCTATACACAGATAGAATTACTGCTAAGATGGAGAAGGTATCATATGCAAGAGTGCTTGTTGAAGCTGATGTTTCACATCCTTTCCCGGATAGTTTTGAAATGCAAACTCCAAGAGGGATAATCAACCAGCAAATTGAATATGATTGGAAACCTAAATTTTATTGTGATTGCATCAGATTTGGACATAATTCAAATGAATGTTGGATGAAGGAAAAGCTGGAAATGGAGAAGGAGTTCAAAGAGCAACCAAAGAGGAAAAGGAATAAGAACAAAACTAATCTAAAATGGCTACCAAAGGAGCATAGGGGGAATGAAACTAGTCAATTAGGAGGGCAAACAGAATTGGTAAAACAGTCTATAGTTGAGACAGAAGGGATGCAAACAGGATTGGTAAAACAGTCTATGCCAGAAGGCTGTACTCAAATGGCAAATGACAAATCTGAGGAATCAGGGCAGAAGGATCAAAATACTAGAACAATTGGTAAGGGCAAGGCTGTCCAACAAGCTCCAGTTGCATCAATTAGCTCTAGTAACAGATTTGGAATATTGCAAATCAATGACACAGACACAATCCAAGGGGACGCTGGCCCTTCCAGCTTCACCCAAAAATGAATCTCTGTACTTGGAATGTAAGGGGGATAATTAAGCCCCATAAACAGAAGGAGTTTAGGCTCTTTCTGAGGAAGTATAAGGTGGATGTTATTGGGTGTTTGGAAACAAGAGTTAAAGAAAGGAAGGCTTCTAAATTTTTGAATCAAGTGGCAAGGAACTGGAGTGCTTGTTGCAATTATAATGCACATCCAAATGGTAGGATTTGGTTACTATGGAAGAAGAATGTAAATGTCCAGATTTTAGTGATTGATGATCAGTTTATACATTGTGAAATTCATGAGACTAATTCCAATTTTAAGGCTATGGTAACTGTAGTCTACGCAAGCAATGATAGTACCCAAAGGAATCAACTGTGGAGGAAGCTCATTCAGATAGGGACTAATATCCAGGACTGCTGGTTGCTTAGTGGGGATTTCAACAATGTTCTTCATACTGATGACAGGATAGGAACACCAGTTACACAAGCTGAGACCCAAGGCTTTCAGGATATGATAAATATATTACAGCTTTCTCAGGTGAAGAGCTTAGGGTGGCACTATACTTGGCGCAACAAACAAGAACCTGATAAAAGAGTGTATAGCAGGATTGATTGGGCTTTTGGGAATTTTGAATGGCTACAACAATACAACCATATTGAAGCAGAGTTTTTGAATCCGGAGGTATCTGATCACTCTCCTATATTACTCCAATGTAGTCAAAGTAATCAGCAGAGGGGAATAAACCCTAAGCCTTTCAAACTATATGGATCAGTTATGGAGCACTCAGAATTCAAAGGGATAACTGAAAGGGTATGGAAGTAGGATCTAAAGGCTGAGCCAATGCAGAGGATCTGGCTGAAGTTAAAAATGTTGAAGTTGGACCTAAAAGACTTGAATACTTACATGGCTTCTTATAAGTACCAGCTGAATCAGGCAAGACACAAGCTAGAAATCATCCAGAATCAACTTATGACTCATCCTTTGGACCAGAACTTGATTGATCAAGAGAGGTTAGCGTTGGCAGAAACTGAGAAATGGAGTAATGTTGAAGAACAGGTTCTTAAGCAAAAATCTAGAGCAAATTGGATAGCTTGTGGTGATTCAAATTCAAAATATTTCCATGCACAATGGAAATTGAGGACAAGCAAGAATTTCATTGCCTCAGTATATAATGACAATGGGGTAAAGTTGACTGATCCTGTACAAGTGGAAAATGAGTTCATTTCTTTCTTTACTTAACTCATGGGTGAAGGTGGAAATGTTCACAGATGCCCAAATGCAGAAGTTATACACCAAGGGCCATGCCTTACACTCCAGCAGAAAGAAGAATTGATTCAAGAAGTTACAAGGGTGGAGATCTTAAATGCAATTAAAGATATGCCTCATGAAAAGGCCCCAGGGATAGATGGGTTCCCTATTGAATTTTTCACTAAGCATTGGCAGGAGGTGGGGAATGACATCTGTGAAGCCACAAAATAATTTCTTGCAACTGGGAAAATGCATCGAGGAGTCAGTAGCACTGCTGTGACCTTAATCCCTAAAGTGCAGAATCCAAGCCATGTCAAAGACTTCAGACCCATAGCATGTTGCATAACTTTGTACAAGATAATCACAAAGGTTATAAATGCTCGAATTAAGAAGGTCATTGGAGGGCTAGTTGGGGAGTCACAATCAGCTTTCATTGAGGGTCGTAGTATCACTGATAATATCCTCTTCACACATGAATTGTTCAAAGGTTACAATTGGAAGGGAATCTCCCCAAGATGTGTACTAAAAGTGGACTTGAGGAAAGCGTATGATACATTTGAGTGGTGCTTTCTGGAAAGAATATTGTTAGAGCTCGGCTTTCTTCATAAGTTCACAAGCTGGATTATGGAGTGTATTTCATCAGTGTCATACTCTCTAAATATAAATGGTGGTCTAACAACACCTTTTAAAGGAAGAAGGGGGATAAGGCAAGGGGACCCAATGTCGCCCTATCTTTTTGTTCTGGCTATGGAATATTTACAGAGGGAGTTTGCACAACTGATGAAAAATAAAGACTTCAAGTTTCATCCCAGGTGTAAAAGGCTTGGAGTGGTGCATATCTGTTTTGCAGACGATTTGCTTATGTTCTGTAAGGCTGATATTAAGTCTATTAGGTTGCTAAAGCAGACTTTCCTCAAGTTCTCTGAGGCTTCTGGTCTTCAAGCAAATGCAGAGAAGAGTTCTGTCTATTTAGCGGGTATTTTAAATGCACAAAAGCAGGATATTTTGCAAGAGTTGGGGTATTCTGAAGGTACTTTGCCATTTAAGTACTTGGGGGTTCCTTTGGCATCTAAAAAGCTCTCAATTATTCAGTGTTGGCCTTTAGTAGAGAAGATCACACATAAATCAATTGCTGGACAGCAAGGCTACTTTCATATGTAGGGCGTGTACAACTGATCAAATCAGTTCTGTTTGGGATTCAATCATACTGGGCACAGATCTTTCTTCTACCAAGAAAAGTGATGAAGATGGTTGAAGCTATATGCAGATCTTTCCTATGGACAGGTGCATCAAATGTCTCTAAAAGGGCATTGGTCTCATGGGAGAAAGTTTGCCTACCACAGGTTGTAGGAGGTCTAAATGTGATGAATATGATATATTGGAACAAAGCTGCAGTAGCAAAGCACTTGTGGGCAGTGGCAAAAAGGAAGGACAGTTTATGGATTAGATGGATCCATACCTTCTATATTAAACATAACATGTTGGAGCACATGCCAATTCCCAAGAATGCAGCTTGGGTGGTTCGGAAAATACTGGAAACAAGGAATTTCATTGGAGAAGTTCAAGGACTTCAGGGTGATCTTATGAGCAGATTGGGCCAATTACTGAAGGGTGACTCTTTCAGTATCAGAAAACTCTATAGACTGCAATTCCCTCAGCTCCCAAAAGTACCTTGGAAAGGTATTGTTTTGCAACCAAATTTACATCCCAGATTCAAGTTTATTCTTTGGTTAGCACTGCAACGGAGGCTAGCTACAGTTGATAGGCTCTTGAAGTTTAGAGTTCAGATTTCCCAACAATGTATTTTCTGTAAGCAAGCGGATGAAGTCTTTGATCATATCTTCTTTGAGTGCACTATGACTAAAGAAGTATGATCGAGACTACTGAAATGGCTTGGGCATAATAGAACTATCCGAGATTGGCAGAGTGAAGTGGCATGGATAAGTCAGTATGCTACAAAGAAGAATGGACATTGGGCAATTGTTACTTGCGTCTTTGGTATGATGATATATACCATATGGAAAGAAAGGAACAAACTCAGATTCCAGAGTGGGATAACTATTGTTATCAGCATTTGCAAGGAAATAGCAATCCATATACACACAGGGGGTCGATTAATACAGCATTGGCAACGAGCACTCGAAAAGCTTAATTGTTATCCTTAGGCGAATGTCTCTCTTACTTTGTATAGGAGACTGATGTTTTGATTTTGGGTACTTAGTCAAAGTACTTGTTTTACTTAGTCTACAGGATTGATGCAAATAGGAGTGTAGATGGTCAGCATCTACTTGCTTTGTAAAGTCAATTTTTGAAAATGAATAGAAATGTTATTTACCAAAAAAAAAAGATGAAATTGATTTCACATAATATAAGTCGACATATCTAATTATAGATGACATTAAAGTATCTATCAATGCTAAATAGTAGATCTTCCCTATTAGATAAGTAATCTACCATGTCCACGCAATTTTTTGAGCATTTTCTAGACTAATTAATAATTGATGTTATAAATATAAAAAAAAAGAGATGATCATATTTAGTACCCCATTTTGGTTTAAATTTTGTTACTCATTTCTTTTGGGATGTTAGAATGTCTTGTCGGCTTTATCAAAATTGATTATTGCAATTGAAGGGCATAAGGCTAGGTGATTTGTTATTTTAATATTGCACAAATGAGTAAATATGCGATAGTTGAATTAATTGATTTACGGCTCGGAGAGCGTCTCTCAGTACAGTAGTAGATGACGGAGCAAGTGAGTTCGAATTAAAGATAGAAAATTTTACTTTTTAAAATTTTTAAAAATAAAGTGGGATACTTTATGATGGACGGAGTGTTGAATATTGGGCGAGCTGTGCACAAATACCACTAAGAACAGCTCTTGTCTTTATATTTAAAGCCAGTGTTTTATATATGTCTTATAGTCTTTTAGCCACTGGTTTAATAAACTTTAACTGCCCCGACGAAAATACCTTCTCTGCTCATGGTCCTTAACGTTCAGGACTTCAAGACTAATGTCCTTACTTTTGAACTTGAAACTCTAAGTTCAGGACTTCAAGACTACATGTCCTTAATCTTTTTAGCCTGTACTCTATTTAGTTGCAGAACTTTCAGGGCTACATGTCCTTAACTTTTGAACTTGGAACTCAAACTTCAAGACCAAGCGTCCTTAACTTTTGAACTTGTAAGTCAAAGTTAAGGACCTATTGTCCTTAACTTTTGAACTTGTAACTGTAAGTTAAGGACTGCTTGTCCTTAACTTTTGAACGTGTAATGAACTTGGAAATCAAAGTTAAGGACCTATTGTTCCTTAACTTTTGAACTTGTAACTGTAAGTTCAGGACCTATTGTCCTTAACTTTTGAGCTTGTTAGTCTAAGTTCATGACCAAGTGTCCTTAACTTTTGAACTTGTAATTCTAAGTTCACGACCAAGTGTCCTTAACTTTTGAACTTGGAACTCTAAGTTAAGGACCAATTGTCCTTTATACATCCAACTCCTTAATCTGAATTTGTACCTCCAAATTCCAATGGATTTCTTCTTGTTGGACATGGAAATCCTGAATCAGCATAGAACTGCAAACATAAAATCAAACAAATATCACAACTTTGGCCTATATACAGTTTAATCCTAATTTTAGTCTTCTTCTATAGTACTCACCACATTTATTTTTCGAATTTAAGTTATATACATTAAAGATTTTTTGAAAAGTGCAAAATTAGCGAAATTTATTTGCCTTTACCTTAACAAGTTTTAAGTTCTACACATTGAATGTTACACAATCATATCACTTAAAAGTTAACTATATGTAAACCATATAGAAATAATTGATTGGGTATAAAAACAGTAAGCAAACAGTCTAATCAACACATGCATAGTGCATTTAAAGGAGAGTTGTGGCTAGAGGAATGTGGGGTCCACGTATATTTTGCATTTAAGAAATACAAACATGGAATTTTATTAAATGACATATATACCCTTGGTCAACCATCTTTCCTTTTCTATATAATAGAAAAATGTAATAATTTTTTATCGTTTCATTTGTAACAACTTTTTTTTATGTAATATAGAGGTCGTGTAGTAGATCAAATGATCACTTCTCGTTTTTTTTTTCTTTTTTTTTTTTTAAAAATTCTTTCACCTTCTTCTCCTTTCTTTTGTTCTTTCTCACTGCTTTTCATGACAAAAACTTGAATAATATTACATATTACTTACTTGTTAAAATCAAAAGATGCTTTATGGCAGAAATTTGACATCCATACTACGAATAAATTTTCAATTATAATTATACGTACATAATCTAAAAGCAAACCTAGGCCAACTCAGTTTTGCTAGCATATGGTATTCACCCTAGTATCATTTTGCAAAGCAAGCCTACGCCCACTCAGTTTTGCACAAGATTGATTAAAAGGAAAAAAAATAATTAAGTTTTTGTTTCAATTGAATTTAGCTATCTTGCAATGAAATTTAAGCAAATATAGTTTCTTTTTTTATTTTATAAAAAATATTAAAACTGTATTAGTGAAAAATAGGCTCACCGCATGAACCTATTGTATGGTGACAGATGTCGACGAAATTATTACGACAAAGAGGAACGTGTACAGAAGATGAGTGAGACGCCGTCTGGGAGAATTTTTGAAGAAAAATAAATGTATCATTTTGTGTTCAATTCCGTGATTATTTTTCCACATTAGGCATGTAGTATATGTAATTCTAAGATTGTTTATATTAAAATAAAAAAATTTAATCAAGCCGGATAAATTAATTAATTCACATTATATTCTAAGATTATAATCTCTTATCCTTGTAACAAAACGACCGCAAGAGTTAAGGTATCATAGTGTTTCAACCTAAATTTTTAGGAGTAGGGTTGTATAATATTAGGTGTGATTAAGGATGTCAAATACACAAACTAAGATATATTTGGACGGATTAAAAAACAAATTGAAAATTTAATCCGGTCAAAATATGGAATGTGATCAGTCCGGTAGATTTTTTATTTTTATTTTTTTTAAAAAATCATTATTTTGACACCACTAACAAAGAGATTTGAGAAAAATAGCGAAGCAAAGGGGCGAAGTTATATTACCTAACTAATTTTGGGATTGTATTAGTGGCGGACAGGGGCCGACCCACATGGGGTAGGGTTCATATATCCGCTTCGAAATATATANTTGAGTTAATTCTTCTTAGTATTTTCTGGAAGAAAAGATTATATATATATATATATATATATATAATCTTTTCTTCCAGAAAATACTAAGAAGAATTAACTCAATAGCAAAGTATATATAATTTCTTTGATATACTTTAATTAATTTTTTGTCATTTTTCACACATATTAAAGAATTCACCTTTTAATGTTAATTAATAATAAAATTGTCAATCTTAACCTTAATTTGTTTAGAAATACAATAAATATTTGTAGGCTCTTTATTTTAAGGTTGAAAAAAAGAAGTTTTAAGGAATATTATGGATCACAAAGGAAAATTAATTACAAATTTACAATTTAAGGAAAAAAAACTACATGCCTTAATTTTTCTCTTAATCGAAAATCTGAACTTTTATATATACATATATTTTTACTTCTTTGCATATACAAATTCTGGGCGGAGGCGTCGAAATCAATTTGAAAAATGGGGGAATCAGAAGGTGGAGGAGGAATCAGAAGGGTGACGGTGTTAACCGAGGAGATGAGGCGTAGAATTGCAGAAGGAGGAACGTCGACACTGACAGCGGCGGAGATTGAGCAAAAAGTTGCAGAAGGAGGTGGATACCTCAGGGGGTTTAAACCACCAGCCAATTACTCTTATGAAAAGTATGCCAACGATAGCGACGACGAGCTTTTGCCTGATGACGCTTTGCCTGAGCATCGCCCTGATTTTTACCATATTTGGCGTCATTATCACCACCAAGCTGCACAAACCAATGTATGTATTGTTTCCTTCCTTTCAATTTGAACTTTATAGATATATATATCATGTGCTTTATTTATATAATATTTAGTGTATTATGCATCTCGACTAATTCAACCAAGTACCTGGTCTGATTTGGGCAAATAATTACTTACATGTTGTTTAGGTCTTATCAAAACTAAACCAATAGCCTCGTTTGTTCCGATATTGTTTGGTTGCTATAGTGAAGTGTTGTTTATAGACGACATATGTTATAAGATAATATAAAAATCGTTATCGAGAAAAATATGGCTTTTATAGTGATGGTTGTTATATGGGGATGCTGTTATTGAGAGGTCTTACTGTATATGTCTCACTAATTGTAAGCTAATGGAGATGTTTTGGCCCTGATAACACAAGTTTCCCCATTGTCCATGAATGTGATTTAGTTTTTTTTCTTTGGTTATTCGAATTGGATAGGGTTTTTGTGATTTTCATGTCTTATTTATTGTTTATTGCTCTACTGCTTTGCTTCCTTTGGACCTAAATCTTGTTAGGAATTCATGACTCTTTTGGTTCCTCTGGCATACTAAAACTGATTGACCGTTCTGTTTCCCTATAAAAATACGAGAAAAGGTACTTTAGTTTCGTGTGGTTGGACTTTGCCCATTGGCGCTTCACCTGAGCATCATCACCCTCAATTTTTCCTTATTTGGTCACTATACCACCGGCAAACTCAACCAACCTATGTTTGTTTGCTTTCTTTCATTTTAAATTCTCTCGCCTTAACTTCCATATACATTTGCATGTCGTGTGCTTCTTTATTTATATATTTGTTGTGTAGCACACCAGGTACCTATTACTTCTACTACCTAGTAACTCTGTCCACTAGGGTTAGCCAGATAAAAAGGAAACAAAAGCTTCTTAAATTTTTCTTTTCTCATTCATATTGCTAATTTGTGTATTAGACCTTCCAAATAACATTGATAATTGTCATGTTTTGTCTGATTCTAAAGCCTGTTATTTTTAATCCTTTTGGGCAAAAAATAATTGCATGTTGTTAGTTCAAATTTTATATCAAAGCTTAGACCATTTGTAATCTGTTTCACTAATTTTAAGCCAATTCAGTTCCTAAGTTGCAGTATCAAGTACTAAATAGGAGTTTATTTATGTTTATATGTTTCCAGTGTACACGAATATGAATTTAGCTGTTACTTAGGGTATTTGAATTGTTAGAATGTATATATTTTCTTCTCAAGAGAATGTATTTATTTAATTATGTCTGGGGGATAACATGTTAATCATGTGACCTCTGAGCCTTCTCTGCTCATACTGGAACCAAGCCCTAGCGCCCCCCTCAAACCCCCCCCCCCCCCTCCCCCCCAACCACACAGAAATGCAAATCATGTTGTTATTATTGTGATTTCTGTGATATATCTATTCCTACTAGTTGTAGATCTATTACTACTACTTCTGTTAGGGATTGATGATTCTTTTGGTTCCTTTGGCATTAAACCTTCAACTGATTTCCTTTGCGGTGTTGGCTGGCCCCATATTCGCTTTTAAACTAATTGACTTGTCGTTCCCTTATAGAAAGACAAATTTAATTTTGAGTGGCTGAATCTACTTCATGTTATTTTGTTAGGTTTGTCCAATTCGATTATGATCTCTCTTGTTTCTTCCAGTTTGGATGGGCTTCATCATTGTTGGCTTGCTTGACAGGGTTTTGACCTTGATATCTATCCTGGCTGTTCTATGCTGGCTGATGTGCTGCCATTAGATAAGTCCTATACTAAGTCCCATACTAAGTATGGTGAGATAATGATGGAACTGGCTAACCTTGCTATCCAGCAATACAATGAGAAAGAGTGCAATGTATGTATTTGTCCCCTAAGCACCTTTGCTTTGTGGGATTAGTCTCCACCTCCACTACCCTTCCTGGCATGTTTTCTTTTTCAACTGATAGTGGCTCTGCTTGCAGGTTTTAAGTACAAGTTCTTGAGTATTGAGAAGGTGAACTATCGGTTAACGGGATTCCAAGAATTTTTTATGACTGTTAAAGTCTTAAATCTCACTCTTGGTTCTTCTATTGAAACTTTTCAAATACATGCTGGCAGACTGATTGCTGTTGCGGCGGGTACCAAAAAAGTCTTTAGTTGCCTGCCAAAAGGAGGGGTAAACACCTATCGAGTTTTACGATTTGCCTTATCTTTTTTGTGTGCGTTTCTGGTTTACAATTTTTTTTTTTTTTTTTTTTTTTGCTTTTCTGTGGCAATTGGATTTTTAGTCGGTCAACTGGGGGGTATCGGTATTATGATTTGATTGACCTATGTTCTATGGATATGTGAAAACACTATCGGTATGCTGAATTTCGGGAGACGATGCCCCCCCCCCCCCCCCCCCCCCC